TCTCAAACATGGGCGGTGGCGAGCTTCCGTGCATGGCTCTTCTGTGACTCCATTTACCTTCGATCTGCATTTCCCTCCGTCCCTTTTCTTGGCTGCACGGTCGTTCATTTTGTTGTTCATCTCGCTTCCATTTGTCCACATGGGTGAAATGTTACGTGGGTTTATCTCTGGGACACAGTGTGGCCACGTGGCTGCAGGCTGCCTTCTGTGGGGACAGAGCAGCACATGGGTGATGACCCACCACCCGGACACTGGCAGAGCCATGGTGTGAATGTGAACACCGTGTGCATCTTTTCTTCACGGAGAGCTTTCTGGCATCCAGATCTAACGGCCAGTTACTCACCAGGCAACAATACCGTGATAGCAGAAAGGATGAGTCGTGTTGTCAGGAGCCTGATGGTGTTTAACCAACCTGGGCATAGCTAGTGCCCTCAGAAATGTGGGGAGGGAAGAAATTGCCTGACTCCCCTGCAGTTCTCCAACTCGGGAAGAAGGAGGAAAGGGAGGAACAGGGTCTCCGCTTGGGTGGCGTCCCCCGTGCTAGATGATTCTTCACCTGTTCCCCTTGATGGGGAAGGAAATGGAGATGTTTTTGTCACTTGCTTAAATGTAGTCAGAAAGTGGAAGGCTGACAATCCAAGCTCAGATCTTTCTGCCTCCAAATGTCCTGCCTTTTATACTCTACCACTCTTTGGGAATGAAACCAAATGCTGTGATGGGAAAGAGAAGGAAGCCAACATTTACTAAGTAGGGGGCTTGGCCCCCGTAATGTGTCACTCCTGTTCCTCAGGACCCTTCTCTTGTCCCCACGTTCCAGAAGCAACCATATGAAGCTCAGAGAAGCTACGAGGAGGCTCACCTTTGGCAAGGCCGGTTGTTGTAGAGAGTTGGACTTTACGCAAAGGACAGAGACTAGTCATCCCTGAGATGACTCACCTGGATTTCGTTGGTTTTATTCTACGGTTAATTCTTCATTTATAAAATGTGGTCCAGATCAGAAAGCTGGAAAAGGCAGAGGATTAGGGTTTAATTTACACACATTGATCACTTGGCTAGTAAATAATTGATGTTTGGATTCGCTTGGGAATGTGGCAAAAACATGTTAGAGATTGAATTTGAATGTCTCATGTGGTTCATGTTATGGATGGAAGCAATCTGCAGAACTAATTCCTCCTGAAAAGTGTCCTTTCCCCCGAAACATGTCCCTTAGGTCCGTCAGCGGCTCCTGGCTTTCCCTCCACCTCTGCCTTGTCCTTCTCTGCCTCCCAGATTGGCTCTTCCAGCCTAGGTGCCCAACAGTGTGGGTGTCCCTGAGGTTATGCCCCGACTCTAGTTCTAACACCACAGGTCCCTTGTCTGAGATTTGCACCAGATGTACATCAAAAGATTTAATATCAATGTCTGTTCAACCGCACCCTCTTTTCTTCAAGGCCACACCAAGTCCCAAGGCCTCGTGCTCATTTCCATCTCCTCTCCTGAAGCTCTGTTGAGCTTAGAGCAGCTAACTAGAGATGCTGACACCTGTCTTGTGTTTTAGTCACCCACCCTCCCCCTCAATTACCCTAGCCTCTGCCAGAACTAATAGATCCCAAATTTGATAATACCAGGCTCTTGCAAAAACACTTGCCAGTGATTTTTCATTGCTCACAGGATAAAGTTAAAATTACTCAACAGGTCATACAAGATCATTTGCAATAGTCTGACTTCCTGCCGATCTCCCTGTTTTTGTATGCTGTGTGTCTTTTTGCGGGAAGACTGTGAGTTCATGCTTCTCCTCCTTTGTGCGGTCTTCTCCTTGCCTGGACTGCCCTCTCCTTTCCCTTGGGTGAACTCCTCTCCGAAGGTTTCCTAGACTCTGCAACCCACAAAATTCATCATAACGTGTTCTCCCCTGTGGTTTCCTAACACGTACATTCCTCGCGTGTAGTACGTATCGTAGTGGCTTTGTTCACGTGGCTTTTCCCAAAGGACGGTGTGAGGACCTTGACGGCAATAATGGTCCTATCTGTGTTCATCATGTAGTGCGTATTCGGTAAATACTGAGTCATCAGATAAGAGATTTCAAGACCATTGTGCTCCTCTGGTGCTCCTTCGGGCCATGTTGTGACTACAGAACCAAGTTATAAGGACGTGCTTTGTTGATCCGGTAGTTGGGAACTGTGACTTGGAGGGACTGTGACAGGTCTGATCCCCGCTTAGATGGTATGCTGGTGATCCATGAGTGGAAGATAAAGAGAAAACAGACATAAAGACTAGAAGAACCTCACTGCCCAATAATGTTGAATGGGCCACATGTGGCTACTGAGCACTTGAAATGTGGCCAGTTCTAAGTGGTTGGGTGGCTCAGTCAGTTAAGCATCTACCTTTGGCTTAGGTCATGATCCCAGGGTCCTGGGCTTGAGCCCCGTGTCGGGCTCCCTGCTCAGTGGGGAGCCTGCTTTTCTCCCTCTCCCCCCAACTCATGCGCGTGCTCTCTCTCTCTCTCTCTCTCTCATGAATAAATCTTTAAAAAAAAATGCACCCTCGATTTCAAAGACTTAGTACCCAAAAGCCCCCAAGTGTAAAATAACTCCATTTTAAAATATTGATATGTTAAAATAATAGTTGGGGTATTTTGGATTAAATGTTAAGATTAACTTCATCTGTTTGTTTTCCCTTTTTAAAAAATACTGCTGTTAGGAAAACGTAAATTTCGTTTGTGCCTCACGCTGTTTCTCTTGGACAGCTGGACTAGAGAGAAGCTCTGGGAAGCCGAGGGGTCAGGGATGACAAGGGAGGCAAAGAGCAAATGCTCCAAGAATCAGAAGGGAAGGGGGGCTGCCATCTTTGGCGGGTACCGCGGAAAGTTAAAAAAAGGAAGACAGAAATCCCAGCTTAGGTGCCGTCAAGAGGGGAAGCCATGGCGGAAGTAGCCTTTGTGAGCAGCCCCATATCTAGAACAGGCAAACTTGAATCCAAACAGTGGATGAAAACTTGTATTGTTTTTCTCTTCTAATGAAGTCATTCCTGTTTACTGCACCCATAATTAGAGAATAAAGTTAGCAAACAAGGAGAAAACCTACTCATCACCCATAATTCTAGTCTTGAGAAACAGTCTCCTTAAACCTTGGTATATTACCATCTTTCAGAGCTCTTCCGGGATTTATATCCATTTACATATGTTTTTATGCACATGGAACCATTCTTTATATACACTCCTTATAATTTGCCTTTTTTTTTTTTTTTACTTAATAGATTAAATATTTTTCCACAGTAGCCTTTAATTTAAGATCATTATGCTGGAGGACAGAAATAGAGCGTGTTATCTCCTGAATGTAGCATGCTGACCCTGCCTCCCACCCTACCCCAGTTCCCAGGTTTCCTCTGTTGGGACCATAGCAGCCCTGATTTCCACATCAGCTAGATTGATGGCGGAAATCTGGGATGTGGGTTTACTCCGAAAGGGGCAGGTCACCTCTGTGCGCCCCCCACCCCCCACCAGGGATGGCCCAGTGAATGGTGGCGTTGCCTGAATGCCGCAGCTTAAAAAAAAATAGCCTTCCGCCTTCTAAGGATTATAGCTGTAGACTAGAATAAATGTGAATATCAGTCATTTGGCATTCAAGATGAAGCAGCACTGTCCTCCCCATGTACAGCTGTGTGTATATTAGAGCACATTTCGTTGATGACTTTGAAGCTATTCTTGATGCCATTTAGAAACTTACTAATGGGTAGGGTTCTATATCCTGGAAGTTCTAAATCTGACCTGTGGAGGTGGGGTGGAGATCAGTTACCAGGAGGCGAACTTTGCAAACTTCAGACGCTGGGAAGGTACCTGACCCACAGGGAACGTGTGATGAGTGAGACCAAGCCGTTTAGAGATGGTGAGACAGTCACAGTGTAGATTTGTTCCCAACAGAAACTTTAAGGACACTGGAACTGTTCACTGAGATTTTGTTTCAAATTTCCCTTTCCAGAAGAATCTCAGTTTATACTGCTTCTTGCTCTGCCCCCTTGGCAAAGGGAGTCCAAGTCATCCTTGGGGATGTGGGTCAGCTCTCCCCCTTTTCCCAGTGACCTCAGAGGGAGACACAAAGGGGCCAGGGATGGCTGTCCCAGAAGTCGGCAGGGTTCTCAGAGTGGAAAAGGGGTTTTCCATTTGTGATGGGAGGGCTCACTTCTGGGAGCATGGGGGCCGATGCTTCCCTACCTAATATCAATGACCATTAGGGGAAGTGCAGAAGTATTAACGCAGATCAGCAACACCACCAGCCTTCACTGACTGAGCTGCTGTGGGCCCCAGGCTCCACAGCGTACCTTTCGTGTGTGCTAGTTTTAACCTTTACGACCAACCTGCAAGGGAGGCTGTGTCCTTTGCACTTTACAGACCGGAAACTGAAGCCCAAGGAGGTCAATGCCGAGTCAAGGTTACGGTGAGGGAGTAGCTGGTGGGTTTCATCCCAGTGTTTTCCGGAAGGAACGGGATTGCCAAAGGACCAGCAGATCCAAAACCCTCGCTCTTACCCTTTTTGCTTCCTGCTCAGGTAGTGAATTTCAGCCATTGAAACTGGTAGCCTCTGTTAAGTTACCTGACAGGCTCTCTTAACCTTTCCTGCCAGCTGAGAGCGAGGAAGCCTGACAGCGAATCAGGTGTTGTGTTGGTGAAGTGGCTTTTTTTTTCTTTTTCTTTTTCTTTTTCTTTTTTACTTTTTACAAACCCTTGTGTCGAGGGCTGACTTTCAATAGATCGCAGCGAGGGAGCTGCTCTGCTACCTACGAAACCCGACCCAGAAGCAGGTGGTCTACGAATGGTTTAGCACCAGGTTCCCCACGAATGTGCGTTGCGTGACGGGCCAGGGGGCAGCCCCCTTTCCGGCCGCGCCCCGTTTGCGGGACAAGGGGCTCTCTCCACCTGACCCCCATCCCGAGGCGCGGCCCGCCTGCGGGGGGATGGCAGGGGACCGGCTATCCCAGGTCAACCGAGCCCCGAGGGGCTGCCGTATCATTCCGCCTGGGCAGGATTCTGACTTAGAGGCATTCAGTCATAATCCCACAGATGGTAGCTTCTCCCCATTGGCTCCTCAGCCAAGCACATACACCAAATGTCTGAAGTGGCTTTTTAAGTGCACTCTCCGTGTCTTGGTGGGTGACCCTTGTTCTGCTTTAAAAATCTTCTCTTTCTTGGGCACCTGGGTGGCTCAGTTGGTTAAGCGGCTGCCTTCAGCTCAGGTCGTGATCCTGGAGTCCCAGGATCGAGTCCCACATCGGGCTCCCAGCTCCTTGGGGAGTCTGCTTCTCCCTCTGACCTTCTCCCCTCTCATGCTCTCTCTCTCTCAAATAAATAAATAAAATCTTTAAAAAAAAAATCTTCTCTTTCTAGAGAACTTTTAAAGAGCCTTTGAATGTACCTCTCAGCCAAAGAAAACTTGTACTTTAAAAAATGAACTTTGATGAACAGGGCTGGCCTACCCTAATTATGGCTTTGCCTTGCTTGCAAATGCAGCACTGTTTTTTGTTTTTTTTCCTAAGATTTACTTATTTTTTTGAAAGAGAGAGAGAGCTTATGTGGGGATGGGGGGCAGAGGGAGAGGGAGAATCTAAAGCAGATCCCTCTCTGAGTGTAGAGTCTGATGCAGGGCTCCATCCCCTGACCCTGAGATCTTAACCTGAGCTGTAATCAAGAGGTGGGCACTTAACCCATTGAGCCACCCAGGTGCTCCTTAAGCTCTGTTTTTAAGATAATCTTTGCTATACTGGCAGGGCTCACATTTGCTCTCCAAATTATCAACATTGGAGATAGAGAAAAGTAGATTTCCTGTAGCATTTTCGTTCTAATTTTGATGATGCGTGAAGAAATTTTGGAATGCCACTCTTCATTTGACAAGAGGTTAACATAATGCTGGAATAATTAGTACACCCAGCTGCAGCCGGGTTGTGTGTGTGTGTGTGTGTGTGTGTGTGTGTGTGTGTTTCCAAGTAGGCTTTAGAAGATGGGGATGTTATTTATAAGAAAAAAATTTAGGGGCACCTGGGTGGCTCAGTGGGTTAAAGCCTCTGCCTTTGGCTCAGGTCATGATCCCAGGGTCCTGGGATCGAATCCCGCATTGGGCTCTCTGCTCAGCAGGGAGCCTGCTTCCTCCTCTCTCTGACTGCCTCTCTGCCTACTTGTAATCTCGGTCAAATAAATAAATAAAATCTTTAAAAAAAATTTTAAAAACAAAACAAACATCTCTTGCATAAGAGCAAGAGTAGGTTTTGACACAGAACAGAGCCGAGAGCTCTTGACCTTCATTCTCGTGTGAACTCCAGTTTGACCACACAGGGCTCTCTGCCTTCTTTGTCAGCCGGTGTCACCAGCTCCCTTGACATATTTACACCGTTGTCCCTGACTTCATCATGAGCCGTAATTTGGATAAAGGGCGCGGGAGGAGGACTGGGCAGGATTTTTCCACGGCTTCTCCAGAAGACAAGGTGTTAGGGGAGAATTGTGCACCCCACCAGAAGGTGTGTTGTGGTCCTTGCCCCTTTGGTACCTGTGAATATGACTGTTTGGAAGAGGGAACTTTGCAGATGAATTAAGATGGAGGTTCGAGTGAGAGCTGCGTAGGAGGGTAGTGGGTCCTTGATCCAGTATGACCAGTGGCCAGATAAGAGGAGAGACTCAGGGAGGAGACACAGAGCAGAAATCAGAGTGATGCATCTGCAGGCTGGGAAGCACCAGAAGTGGGGGGGGCTGTGGGGCTGTGTTGGGGGGACAAGCATGGAACAGATTCCTGCCTCTTCTCTCTGCATGGACTTTGCCACCCCCTGCCCCCACCCCGCCCCATCAAAGGTCCTGTCATATTTCACTTGTAGAGAAGAGCACACTTGAGAAGAAGTATCCTGTAGGTAAACAGTCTAGACAAAGACTGGGTGTAGGATTGCTCAGGATGGAGGAAGGTCACATCCTGGCTAATCCTTCATCTCTTGGCCCCGAGACCTTGGGCACATTACCAAGTCTCCCCCAGCCACCCTGTGCTGTGTGTACCATGGACTAACCTGGGTATAAGATCCTGTGTTGGTGAGAAGGACATGCGTGCACAGGGCCAGGTAGGGCCAAGTAGATGCAGGTGGACATGAGCTGAGCCCCAGCTCTTGCCTTCGGTGTGTGGTTTGGAGGCACTTGAGTAAGTCCTGTTCTCCTCGCCAGGAGAGAAGGTGGGATGTTTTCCCAAGAGCCCGCTATCTACCTGGTGCTGTGCTGGGCACCAAATGTGTTACTTTATTTAATGTTTGAACACATTTCCAAGTAAATAACTTATTCTAATGCTTCTGACATGACCTCCTATTAAATATTTCCCAAATTAATTCCTACCTTTCAGGGTCCTGTTGGGATTAAACATGGGAATATCTATTATGTACCTACTGGAATTTGCAGCATTCAGTAGGTGCTCAATAAATGCCAAGATTTTTTTTTTTTTTTCCTATTCACATGAACTTATGAATCAAATATTGTAAGGGACAGTGCTGGCTGAATGATACTGTGTCCTCTAAAGTATTGTTGTTTTATAATGTCCAGATAGCTCAAACAAAATGGCAGGGGGAGGGGGTCTGTGCTTGGAATCCTGTGTGTTTGATGTGACAGCAGGGTTTACTTTAATGAAATCTCAAATAGAGGTTGGCATTTCCTGGGCCAGGCAGGTCACCTCTGGAAGGAACGTGATCAGATTAGGGACGAGAGCGCAGACCAGCTTTCATATTGTGCTGTGTGTTGTCAAGAGAAACTTTGTTTCCCTGGGGACTCTGATTGGAGGCAGCAGATGGTTTCCTGAGTTGGAGCGGGGAACTCTGGAAGAAGATCAGGGTGACAGGAAGGGATGCGGAGAGCCGGCCCCGAGGGCAGAGCCGCAGACAGGGCTTGTCCACGCACCCCCCGTGGGCTGCTTCTGACGGTTGCCAATAGCAATGGACTGAAATGAACAATGAGACGTTTGCAGCAAATACGTTCTGTTCTGTTAGTAGGATTGATGCAGCGCCAAGTGTTCGTGCTCTCTTCCTTCCCTCGTCTCGTGATGTGGTGGAGAAGCAAGGATGGAAATGTCCTTCACGTCTGTGTCACTACAATGAGCAGAATGAATGCGCTGATGGTTTTCCGAATTCCCATTCAGCCGATGAGCCGTCGGGGAGGAAGAAACGTCAGGCTGACTTCGGTTTCAGTCTGAGCCACTAAAACCACGCTTAGGACTTTAGATTTTGCAGCATCTACTTGTCATTAATAATCTTAAACTGTTTCAGATGCTCAGCAAATTCAGCCTCTCCCTCCTACAGATCGATAAAAATAAATGCCTTCTTATGCCATGGGCCTGGGGTGCGTGGGCGCGGCTGTGACGCAGACCACTTCCATGGGATGACTCTCCGGCTGAGATTGAATTCCTCTTTGGGCCCGTGCGTGTGACCGCAGTCTGTTCCCTCACTGCGTATTTGTGTCTGTCCCTGCCTCAGGAAGGCGAGGGTGTCTGGCACCCCAGACATGAGAATTAGAAGAAAGGTCCCGTCTGCGTAGACAAATTGTGGCAAGAAGAAAGGTCCCGTCTGTGTAGATGAATTGTGGCAAAGTGACTCTGGGGCAGAGACCGCAGCCCCCACATCACCTGCTTGGGACCCAGAGCCCGGCTAGGCATGTGGACCACATGCAGCCCCCAACCGCCGTCTCGACCGCTCTTGGAGCAACTCAAGGGAATCAGGATCTTTGCTCCATCCATGTGGTCTCAGCCAAAGGACTGTGCAGTGCTCTGGGGGCGAACTTGGTATTTCTATGTCTGGGGGTCTACAAGCCACCCCTGGATCTTTTGGAGGGGGGACATTTAGTTTGCAGGACAAGGCTTTGCTGTGGTTTCATTCTGGAACTTTGGATTCCTACCTAGGGGGAAGGCCTTTCCCCTTGGCTAGACCAACTTTCCCACACTCCCACTCCGTCTTCTACCTGGCCTCTGGCTGTCCCGCTGCTCCTGAAGCAGACAGGCTTTCTTAAAAGAAGAGCCAAAACACCGTTATGAGCAATAACACCTAACCTTTGCTCTGAGCCCGTTTAATCTTCCCACAGGTCCTGCTCTATTGGGGTCCAATCATACCCAGTTGTACTCTGAGACCTAAAGGTACAGAGGGGTTGAAGAACTTGTCCAAGGTCACAGAGCTCCCTCATAGCAGAACCTGCCCTCCAACAGCTATACCTGACCCCCCAAAACTTCTGGGACTATGCGCCCCTCTTGACACAGGACTCTGGAGCACATGCACACACGCGTGCGCGCGAGGTCATCACCTTGGAGGGTGCAGCCAGCTGGGAGCACCCCCACATTTGCCCAGTGACCCTTCTCTTTCTTTTTGGGGGCCTCCCAAGCCAGATGTGCCTCATGCTTGCTGCTTTTCCCATGCAAGCCCCATTTAGGGACTCAGCGTCCAAGCCATCCATCAGCCCAGCTAAGATTTCAGTAATAAACCGGCTGATTCCCAAGGTCCACATTTGAAGCATGCTGGTGACTTTACCCAACGATTGCGTTATTGGGAGATGGAGGTGACGTGGGTCTTGTCCCCTCAGGTGGCATTTGGGTGGCCACAGATGTGACCGACATTGGAGCATGTGGGATCGGGAGGTTCATTGTCAAGGATCCGCTCCAGCCCCAAAGCAGCCAGATGGGAAGCAAATAGAAGTGTTCTTTCTATCCTGTGTGTTGCATGTTTTTGCTGGATCGGTAAACCTGGGGAGGAAAACCTGTAAGGCTGCTTCTAAAAACACCCGGGATGGGATGGCCCCTGCGGCCGGAGCTGTGTGGATACGTGCAGAAACCGGCCAGCCCCTTGCTCCTCAGCAGGTGGGAGCCCCACAGCCTCTCCCAGTGCAGGGAAGCTTCTGTCTGCTTCTGCTTCCCACTCCCTCCTGCTGCCATGGCCTCCGGGAAGGTGGGCTCTTACTCTGGCCAAAGCTAAGCATAAAAAAAATCTGCTACCAGAAAGCAAGAGAGATTTAAAGATAAAGCCTCGTTGAATGGTCTGCGTCATTGCTTAGAACTGGAAGCATCCACTCTGTGCTTGTACTTGCAGATGAAGATTAGTTCTTGAGACAGATATTCTTATATTCTAAGGCCCCTTTCAGCTGTAAAGGTGATTGTTGCGTTTCTGTCCACTGGATGGTTTAAAGACAGAGGTTCTGGAGGCTGGAAGTCTGCCACTTCCTTTAGCGCTCCCTGTGCCCTCCCACCTCAGGTGGCAAGTGACTGGGGGCTTTGCTTGCCTTCCACCTTTGGCTTTTGTCTCTGGAATGTGTGTTTCATTTAAGCAGTTGTGTAAGACATAAAATATGCATATCACACCCTTTGGAGTTCAGTTTTTAACTGATTAGTAAAATATGTGGGAGACAGAAATACAGTCTGTTCTGGAAAATCAGAAGTGTTTATAGTCATCACTTCCCTACTTTTCCCCCATTAATTTCTATATCAACCCACAGTAGAGCAACTAATTGAAAAAAAAAAAAAAGAAAAGAAAAACTTCTTGGGGCGTTTGGTTGGCTCAGTCGGTTAAGCATCTGCCTTTTTGGCTCAGGTCATGATCCCAGGGTCCTGGGATCGAGCCCTCTGTTGGGCTCCCAGCTCTGCAGGGAGCCTACTTCTCCCTCTCCCACACTCTCTGCTTGTGTTCACTCTCGCTGTGTCTCTCTCTGTCAAATAAATAAACAAAATCTTAAAAAAAAAATTTTTTTTTAAATCTCTTCTATACAGTTTGGCAGGATCAAATTATTTATTTTTCTCAAATAACTTGTTATAATCCACAGTTTTAGGATATTTTTAAACTTCTAGCTTCATTGGGATATAATTGGCATATAAGGTTGTAGGATTTTAAAAGTCTCCATCGTGGAGATTTGGTGTATGGGTACCTTATGAAACAGTCCTCCCCCCCGCCATGTAGTTAATACATTAAGTGCCTCACATATTTATCTGTGTATATAAGAATATTTAATTTCTACTCCCTTAGCAAATTTCAGTTTTACACAGTGCAGTGTGAGCTGTAGTCTCCATGATATACATGAGATCCTCCGACCTTATTTATCTTCTCACTGAAAGCTTATTCCCTTTTACCAACCCCTCTGTGTCCACCACCACCACCTGCCCCAGCTCCTGAAAACCACCGTCTCCTCTGTTTCTAGGAGTCTGACTTTTTAAATTTTATTTTATTTTAATTTAATTTGAAAGATTTTATTTATTGTCAGAGAGAGAGAGAGAGAGCACAAGCCGGCAGAGTGGCAGGCAGAGGCAGAGAGAGAAGCAGGCTTTCTGCTGAGGAAGGAGCCCGATGCGGGACTGAGCCACCCAGGCATCCTGGAGTCTGACTTTTTATAGAGATCGCATGTGTAAGTGATATGATGTAGTATTT